TATGGTAATTTGATGTGGTAACCCTAGGAAAATAAATAAATTAATACATCTTCTCACTCATGACAATAACAACCATAGCAACACAGGTACCATTTAACAAGCATTTATCATGGACTAGGCAATGTGCTGTAGACCATACCATATATAAACTATACCATTGGATCCTTAGAGAAATTTACTTATAGGTATATCTGTTCTCCTTTTAAAAACGAGTGTTCCAGAGATGTTTAGCAACTGGCCCAACATCACAAAGCTGGTGTGCAGATAGATGGTGCTGCTGAAATATGAATGTTGTCTCAGTGGCTCTAAAGTTTTGCCTCCAGGAGAATGACTCTTTTGTACTGGAGATGGGGAGGATGGACAGGTCCTCCCTGCCCAGAGCAGCTTCATTTGCTTGACACAGGAGGCCCCCTTATCAGATTACATCAATGCCTAAATGATTGAAAGAGTCTTGACCAAGCCTGGTGATGTTGCCTGATCTTGGGAGCCAGGAGATCACGAGCCTGACTTCCAAAGATCCTCAGAGCCCCAGAAATATGCTGGGCCTTTGCACCCTACTGTTTGAGAGTGGGAACCAGAAGGAAGAGTGGAGAACAGTGGTGGCCTGTGTTGGTAGTTTGTGTTCCAGGCCTTTGTTAAATGGCTCATTTAGACAAGACTTAATTACACCAGTTTTCCTTATGATGGTAAAACAATGGAGGCTTGTTGTGTTCATCAGCTAACTGGATCCCAGCCCTGAAGTGGACACAATGCTTGTAATTAGGGGCAACATGGAGAAGAGATCCCAATTTTCCTCTGCTTGTTCAATAGAAGACATACTTGGAAATTTAAAGGAACAGTGATTTGCCTGTTTCCCTGCTATCAGCTCTAAGTTGAAAGGATTATATGTTGCCTATGAAAGAAAGTTGAAAAGCAGTTTGAATGCTGTTGACAAATATAGTTTTCATAACACTTAGTGCTCTTTGTGGCCTGGACCCGTGTCCTGCTGGTAGTGTCCTCAGGTTAGCACTTTCAAAAACTTTTATCTTATGGTCAGTCATGTTTGTTGAATAAATTATGGATAAGGAAAGTACAGTCTATTGAGAAGAGGTAACTTGGCCAAGGGAGGAAACTAAGGATCCAACGGTATCCTATTAATCTGGAAGAATAGCCTTCAGTTGAAGATTGATAGACTTGAATATTCATTTGCGTCAACACTGGATCTAAGTACTGTTTCTATTTTTTCCTCATCTTTTCTGCTAAATTTCTATCAATTCAAAAGTAAGAACAAATCAAATAACAACAAAACCTAAGAGTGATATGCATGAGTTTTCTTTGTTTCTTCTTTTTACCCAGATACTTGAAAAGGGTTTTCAAATTTCTTCTATGGAAATGGTGGTTCTGATTTAGATCTTAAATTATTAAAAATTCAGGTGGTAATTAAAAGAAGTGAGATGACCTGTAGAAAACCAAGCCTTATATATATTCATTCCTGATCTTACATGGTAGATATAAGGGTGTGTTTATTGTGATAGCTGGCTCACAAGAATATTGGCATTGAGTGATTTATTTTCAAAGCATTTTAGAGAGTATGGGGTCAGGGTGGGTGGGTGGCTTCTCACAGAGTTTCTGGCAACTGGTCTTTCATGTTGCTTCTGTATGAGTAAGCATGGTTCTGCTTTCAAGAGAAGCTAATAATTAACTTTTGTTGCCCTGATAATTGTCAGTGAGTGGAATTCATTGTTATTTACATCTTTGCCAGGCAACTGTTAGCCACCATTTATTCAGTATGAAATTTCAAGACAAAAAAATAACCATCTGTATATTTACTTCAGTTTTGGTTATTGAAGATTGTATTTTCCAGCAATAAGACAGTTAAAGACAAATTACATATCATTAAAAACAACAACCCTAACACCAGGCATGATCAAACAAGAATAGATGGCTGCTGCAATAATATAGAAAGCAGAACATGGAAGGAATTCCATAGCCTCAACATTTTAAAACATGGTATCATGGGAGGTGATAAAATGAGGAGGGTCTCAAATCTGCCCTTTTGTCTGCAAGAGAGTACTTCTCAGATTTCAATGGGCACCTGAATCTCAAGGGGACTTTGTTTAAATGTAGATTCTGATTCAGTTCTAGGGTGAGGTCTGAGATTCAGCATTTCTAGAAAATTCCTAGGAGATGTGATGTTAATTCAGCTCCTCTAGGAACCACACTTTGAGGAGGAACAGTTTGAAAGCTTAAACATTAATACTACTTCTGAAAATGAGCCCTTGGTGGTTTTTTAATTTGTTTGAATTTCCCACAAGGACAATTAAAAACACCCTCAAATTCAAAAGGTAGTAAGAAAGAAACTCCACATGATAATCATTTCTAAAGCATTTTTCTGCCTCAGTGTATTTTGGTCAAGATTTCCAACCAAGATTTCTCTCCTGGCCTTCACACCTATGGAGCAAACCATTCACAGGACATTCCTACCTAAATGATTCTCAGGCCTCAACAAACAGGTCCTAGTCAGAACTCATGATCTTACCCCACTCTCCAACCCATACCTGGGTTTTCTCTCTCACTGAAATCTTCAAGCTGCCAAAGTCAGAAATATGGTCATTAATCTTCCTTCTCTTTCCCTGGCACAAAGTCCTGCCAAGTTTTTCTTTTAAGTCACTCTTAATCTTACTTACTTCTCTTTATCTGCATCTCTCTTGCCCCGGTTCATGCCATGTGGATTGTTTGCATAGGTGTCACCTGTGGTATCACCCTGCTACAGTGTTGTCTTCTTCCTGGTATTCTTGAACTTTTTGCCTGAACTTTCTACTTATCCTGTAGTTACTCTGGTGTCCATTGCTGCTGCTCTCCTAATTTAAGTTTGATGTCCTCTCCAAATACTCTCATGCACCCCTTCCCTCCTGTGCCATAGTGCCTGCCAATGGTTTATAACTTTGTTTCTTGTTTGACATTGCATCTGGCATGGAGTATTATATGTTGAATAAATGCATGATTTGGAAATAAACAAATCAATGAAAAATATTTTCAGAATTAACTCTAAGGGCAGTCTCTGTTGGATGCCTTTGTATTTGGAAGAGGAAAAGCACACATTTCACAGCTTCTCATCTTTAAGGATCTTTGGGGTAAAGATTACCACTTCTTCAGGAACAACATGACCTTAGTTGGAGTGTCACAGTCACATCTTTAATTAGGTGCAGAATAAATGCATCCTGATGCTATAAACCCCAACTGCTGGACTACATCTACATGAGGCATTCTTCATTTTTTAACTTATATAGGTAACTATCAACAACATCTTTTCTCCCTGCCTGAGAATGTTCTCTCCAGATTCTTAATTTAGTTTAGAAATCTTGCAACTCATTGGAGTCGCAGGTATCAATGAAATGGACACGTAAGTTCATGGTTGATCCCTCTCATTTATGGAAAGGAAAGTATAGTCTATTGAGAAGAGGTAACTTGGCCAAGGGAGGAAACAGAGTGGTTTTATGATGAAGCATTTGTCTTTTTAAGCACACTTCATATATGTTATTTAAAATATTTGCAACAACTCTGTAATGCTCTTCAAAAGAATACTGAGACTTAGAGAGTGAAACAACCTGACAAGGTCACAAAGAAAAGGGGATGCAAACCTATTGTCCTTTTCCAAAGCTGGATTCTTGTCACTTCTGAGGAAGTATGGCATGTGAAGAGTGAATCTAAGATCCAGCTTGGTATTCTGGTCCTGATATCACCACACCAATGTATCAAAACATTCTACTTAATGTCTCCAGGCTCCCATAAAGTAACTAAGGTGATCATATAATATATCACAAATTGGATTTTTTTTTGCAGTTCTGGGGATTGAATAGGTCCTTGCATGTGTTAGGTAAGTGCTCTACCATTGAGCTAATTGCAATACTTTTTATTTTTTATTTTTCTGAGTACCAGGGATTGATACCAAGGGCACTCAACCCTTGAGCTACAGTCCTAGCCATTTTTATACTTTATTTTGAGACAGGGTCCTGCTAAGTTGCTGAGGCTAGCTTTGAACTTGCGATCATTCTTCCTCAGTGTTCCAAGAGCTTCTGGGATTACAGGTGTACACAACTGTTCCAGCTCTAATTGGGATACTTTTGAAAATGAAAACTGAATGTAGCAGATGATGCCATTTTTTCCCTGCTCAGCAATCTCTCTTTTGGATTTCTTTTGTCCATTTTCATGTGCCACTCCTTACCCATACCCAACTTCCAGCTTCATTCTCTTTAGTCTCTAATGCCAGATAGCCTGGCTCTTTTGGAGAACTGCTGGAAGCCTACAGGAGCTCCTATGTCTCTCCAGCAGCAAGTATTAAATGCCTGCAAACTCACTTCCCTTGGAGTATCCCTTGGTCAATAGTGGACAAGTACAGAAGTGTGAAAATCCAGCTCAATGGTTCAGGGTTAAGATACTTCTTAGGTATAAGAAGTATCAGTATTACACTCTGGAGCTCCTTTGCAGACCAGGCTAAAGCTGGGACTTCAGGTGCATGGAAGGACATCTTGGCTATGCCTCCTCTCTCTGCTGTCCTGCTTTTCCCACTCCCATGATGGTCTTCCCTGGGGGCACTTCCTTAATGAATCCCTTGCATACATCCATCTATTCACCCCAGAGTCATCTTCTGGGGAACCTGATCTAAGCCAGTGGAACTAGATTTATAGAGAAGACCATTCTGTACTTGACTGGGTTCCTGAGAAAGGCTGGAACACTTCTCAGACATTTTTGAAAAAAGAGAAGTAATTCCCATTTGTATGGGATGACATCAGTATAAACATGATCTAAGATAAGAAAATGGATGAGATAATCCCTCAAGGAATTAGAGTCAAACCTCACCAAATCAGACATCTTGCTCCCAGAGTTGCTGGCTAACCTCTTCAGCACTAAAATTCTATGTTCAGCAAAGGAGACATAAAACTATACACAGTGGAATCATGCAGAGTAACTTATGCAAAGTTCTCTCCCACCATCCCACCCCAACAAACCCATTCACTCACCAGCACAGGCTTGTTGGTTGCATTTTTGAAATTCTGGGGGTCTGGGTTCATGATCACATAGGCATCCATCTTGGCCTTCAGCTGTATTGTTTTCTGATGGGACACAAAGGACAGTTCTCTTCTTAAAGCCACCTCCACAGGAAGCTGTGCACTGAAAGAGAGGGATACACAGAGAGTTGGACCAGGACCAACCAAGGGAAAACTAGCAGAGCACCTCTAACCCCACCATAGTCAAGTATTGGAACATCTCAATCACTACACATTTTTTGAAGGAGCTATAGAATAAAGACACTAATAATTTGGAGATGTGATGTAGGGAAGTATCCTATGTTATAGGCTGTTGGGTAGAATTTGGTTTAGTTTACTGCTGATTCTCTGAAGAACATGTACTTCTTTCCCACATTTGAGAATGGTCCATTACTCCTACCACATGACTACCCATGATAATACCATGGACCCCTGCCTACCCAGCCACACATGATTGGCCAATTGGTCACTGTCTTGAGAATCTGGAATTGAGATTTGGCAAAGGATTCCAACTGAGAGTGAACTATGCAAACGTTAGTGTAGTTTGTACCCACATTCCTTGCCAAGTAAGAGAGGTAGAGAAAAATATATGACAAAAAATGTGAGTGGCACTAAGTATATGCTTAGAGACATGTTGGAATGAAAGATGGCATGCTTATAGGGTTGGCATGCTTATAGAGTTTATGCCCTTAGTTCTACTGAAAACTCACCACCCAAACACTCATATTGACTTCATGAATGTATGGAGTGAAACACACAGAGAAAGGTAGAATTGCAAACAAAATAGAAGAAAACTTTGTTATCTGGGTCCTGGGGCTTTTCACTTTCCCTGAGAGTAGAGATATGTGGGATATGTGGGAAAGGAAGACCATGGTGGAATGGAGGAAAAAAAGTTTCAAATGGAGGTAGGAACAGGATTGTATATAGAGATTGGGAAGGAAGCTGGGGGCCAAGGGGTCTTTGAGATTGGGTCCGGATAGACCACGTGTGGTCTCAAGCCACTCTCACACATAAGGTTCTGTTGCAATGTCATGACTGGCCATCTGCAGCAGGAGGGAGATTCTCTAACTTGTGGAAGCAATTTCTATTAGGCGATTCCTGGGGATGTAAGAAAATGTTTCTGAATTTATCGAATGTGCACTTTTCTAAACTCTTTTTCTGCTATGTAACATATTTTTTTGTGGTATAAAACATACAATTTACTATTTTTAACCATTTTTAAGTATGCAGTTCAGTAGTCTTAAGGATGTTCACGTTGTGCTCTCACATCTTTCACCATCCATATCTAGAAGCTTTTCATCTTACCAAACCAAAACTCTGTACCATAAACCAAGGACCCACCATTCTCATCTCCACCCCCAGCTCCTGGAAACCACCATTCTATCTTTTTTATCTCTCTAAATTTGACAATTACAGGTACTTTATAAAAGGGGAATATGTGGTATTTTTCCATTTGTGACTGACTAATTTCAAGTATCATAATGTCTTTGAGTTTTGTCCTTGTTGTGACATGTGTCAGAATTTCCTTTTTAAGATAGAATAATGTTACATTCTACACCTGTACCACTAAATTCAAAAAAATTCATTTGGCATTTGAAATATTATAGAAGACCCAACTCACTAGATGAGAGAATTCTCATGCTGGGACACAACTGATCAACTCAGAATAATGCTACCAAAACCTCATTTCTCATAAAGACCTCCCAAAGGATAAAAGGAGAAAGGTGGCATTTAAAAAAACACCCACTGTTTTATTTATTTTGTTCTCTATATAGCTTAGAGCATGGTGATCTGCATGGAACTTCACATTTGCATTATAAAGTCAGTTTTCTGTGATTAAATCTGAAGGCAATTTTATTCAGTGAATTCATCTCAATTTCTCCATGGATGTGGGCAAGAAGCAAAGAATAAGAAAGAAGTAACTACTCAACTGATCCTGAATCAATGGAAGTCTGCAACAGAGGACAGAAAGAACAATGATGGAAAGTAATCAAGCCAGAATATGATGAAGAGTCCTGCACTAGGATTCAGGAGATTGGGGAATTCATTCCATCTCTTTCTTCCTCCGTAAAATACGTCCATTACATCAAGACCAAATGACTTCTTTTCCTGTCCTCTGCTTCCAAGAAAGAGACAAAACTGGACTAGTCCTGAGTGCTGAAGCCATGCGGCTCCACTTTGACAGAGCAAATTAGGCTAAAAGAGCTAATTATTAGCCAAGCACAAAAATAAACAGAGGCAATCACTGTGCATTTATTAGCCCACTAAAATAGCTTGTGATTAAGATGCATGTTTTTTTTTTTTTTTGTATTTAGTTGGGAGATTAAGCAGGAAGCATGTTTGCTGATATGGGTTTTGTTGATTGTAGTAATATTGTTTGGGGTTTTAAAAGGAAAGTATACATTTCTTAGTGTTACAATCTGCTCCTCTGGATTCAGTAAAACCAGGAATCCTTGTGCAGAACTGAGCACCCCAAATAAAGATGGGGCTAACCTCAATCCTCTCATATCAAAGGCTATTGATTATACTGTACTCTACATTGGCCTCATTCAATCCAAGATGCTCTGTCCAAAAGACCATGAAGGTTCTCTTCAGATTAAACTGGCTTGTTTGGAAAAGCTGATCCTCAAAGTTCAACAAATACTTGCTCTGTGAGAAGCTGTAAAAGATATATGAAGACTGAATTCTGTTATTGCTGCCACTCAATCAACACAGATCAAATGGAAAAATATGAAGAAGAAAAGCCATTTGATGTTTTATAATGAATGCAAACATGTTTATTAAATGCCTTCCTTGAACTAATTAATATATGGCAGGCCATGTTTTATTGCACATGGGAGGTCTTCTTGAGTTCAATCCTTGTAACATTCATGTAAAACAAGATTTGTTTTTTGGTTCTACTTATAGAGAAACAGACCTTACTCCTCTGCACAAACTTGTTTCCTTTTAATGGTAGTAGCTGTAAATCTTTTGTGGAGACTCATGCCTTCATATTTGGAAAAAAATTCTTGTATTAATTCTTTGATAATGTTCTAACTACTTTTTCATTCTCCTTTTCTGAAATCCTATTGATGTTATATCTGCTGTCCTAATAATCTCAAGTTCTCATCTTTTATCTTAATTTCCTTTTGTTTTTCTTTTCATTTGCTTGAGAGTTCACCTCAGAGTATTTTCCTAATCTTTCCAATTATTATTTTTACTTTTGCTCATAACTAAATTTTGAAACTTATGACTTATGGCTTGACTATGCTCTCCCTCACCACCTTGCTGGTAGAAGTGAATATTAAGTAGATGACTATTTATTAAGTGCCCTTAGTCATGCTAACAAAGGGGCAATGGCTAAGTAAGTTACATTAACTTGGTGGAATATTACTGGGAATAATGGTTGACATTAGATCTGGTTCAATCTACTTGGGGGAAAATTGACCTTGAAGTATGGTTTCCTTGGAAACTACAGAGTTAAGGTAAACACAGAAAATTGTGACTGCCATATGGCTAATAGGATATTCTGGATGTGTAGAGTTGCCCTAGATTGGGAGCCTGGGAGTTGGCATGTGATCTAGGGTATGTGTGATCAAAATGGTCTAAAATACTGACAGGAAACTAAGGCTGAGGCTTCTTTGTGCCAAGTGATCTTTGCACATCTTGGCTTTAATTCCTTGCCAACCACAAATACTCTGTACTAGTCAGGAAACAAATGAGGTTGTGTCTTGGATAACAGCCTCCTGAAGAGATGAGGCTGCTGTATCTAATATAATCCTGTTTGTATGTTTCTATGAAGCTAAATAAATACAATGTTAGGTTCGACCCCATTGTGTTTCATGTGTCTGGCTACTAATGCCCTGCTAATTTGAACCAACATTTCAGCTGATTATGGCTTTGCAGGTATATAGCTGTGAATAACGATTATTACTAAGAGTATATAAGACTAAAAATATCTGGGGACATTGTGTTGGTCAAAATATTGCATTCGTCTATGTCATAAGTATAACCATTAATATAGATTCACATAAGAATGGGATATTTTATGAAAATAAGGATTCTCTTCTTGTCTCCTCCTGTCTCCCAGCACCTGGCCCTATGATCTGTCCCAGTGAAGGTAGCAACAAATTTCATAGAAGCATGTTCACTGACCTGCACCTCATGCTTGTGCTATGCCTCTCATCTCCTGACTCTGGGCTTTCTTGTTGCCAAAGAGACATGTGACATTGTTATAGTTTAAATATGAGGTGTCCTCCAAAAGCTCCTGTGTTAATGTTGGATTACGAGAGTTATAAACTAATCAGTCTATCCTAGTTTGAATGGACTGACTGGGTGGTAACTCTAGGCAGGTGGGATGTGACCAGAGGAGGTAAGTCACTGGGAACATGCCCTGGAAGGATGCATCTTCCCTGTGGCCTCTTCCCTCTCTCTGCCTCCTGGCTGCTATTAATGGAGCAACACTCCTCTGCTATCCCCTTCTACCATGATGTCTGCCTCACTTTAGGCCTAGAGCAATGGCTGACCAGGGACTGAACCTTAGGAACTGTGGTCTGAATTCAACTTTCCCTCCACTAGGTCATTCTGGTCAGTATTTTGGTCACAGTGTTGTGAAGCTCACTAACACAGGAACAGATGTATTCAGTACCTAAATATGGACAACTCAGAAGTAGAGGGACATAGGAAGGGAGACAAAGGGAGACAGGAACCAATAGATAACTCTATTTTTTTTTCTTCCTATCTTTGGGTAAACTGCCACAAGCAGCAGGAGTTCACAGAACTTTTAGAAGACCTTCACATGACAACCAACAGTTAGTTGCCTCCATCTTGAGTGCTGGTCAGTTAGGTAATGCACTACTTCATATTGGATCCTCCTTCTCTGCCTACTTCCTCTTTCCTATTACTGATGCTTCGTTGGCATTTATTTCCTAATAACATGTTAGATTTTGCCTTAAGACTCTATTTCCGGGATCCAGGGGCTTAAACATTGACATGCGCTTGGGAACTTCCAGATGCTGCGGCCTAAACATGGATGCCTGAGGCACTTGCAGATCCTAGAGCTAAACATGGATGCTGAGGAACTTCCGGACCTGGGGGCTTAAACATGGACGTGTACTTGAGGAACCTCTGGATCCGTGGGCCTAAATATGGATGCCTGAGGAACTTCCAGATACGGGCGCCTAAACATGGACATGCACCTTTGAAACTTCTGGATCTGGATCCAGGGGCTTAAACATGGATGTCTGAGGAACTTCCGTATCTGGGGGCCTAAACATGGATGTATGCCTGAGGAACTTCCGGTTGCTACCGCCTAAACATGGAGGACTGATGAACTTCCGGATCCAGGGGCTTAAACATGGACGTGTGCCTGAGGAACTTACAGATCCAAGGGCCTAAACATGGACACCTGAGGCACTTCTGGATCCTAGAGCCTAAACATGGATGCTGAGGAACTTCCGGACCTGGGGGCTGAAACATGGACGTGCACCTGAGAAACCCCGGATCCGTGGGCCTAAATACGGACGCCTGAGGAACTTCTGGATCCGGCGGCTTAAACATGTACACCTGAGGAACTTCCGGATCCTAGAGCTTAAACATGGATGTGCGCCGGAGGAACTTCCGGATACGGTCGCCTAAACATGGACGTGCACCTTTGAAACTTCCGGATCCGGGGGCCTAAACATGGATGTCTGAGGAACTTCCGGATCCAGGGGCCTAATCGTGGACGCTTGAGGCACTTCCGGATCTGAGGGCCTAAACAAGTTCCCTGGAACTTCTGGGTCCTTGTGCCTATAAAGGGCAGGGCTTGACTCTCAGAAGGGACGTGGCTCATGAAGGGGAGCTGAGTATGGGGCCTGTTGGGGGGCAGACTGAGCTGTCACACTCTGAACTTGAATGTGACGGTGGCCTCACTTCCCAGCCTTCCCCTGGGTGTCACTTCCTCCCCTTCCAGGCGGTGCCCAACCAGGCGCAGGGGCCAGGTCCTGAGGAGGGACACCGTCTTTCTCCTCACTTAGCCAGGCGCCCAGCCTGGCTGGGGATGGGGATGTCTTATGACGCTAGCTACCTCCTACATCCCTGCCCCAGGACCTCAGGGACCACAGGTGGGGAGTCGTTGACATGATTCTTCCCTGGCCATTGACCCTCAGCCCCGGGGTCTGCCCAGGGAGAGCTCTGTCTCCCAGAGGGTCAGGGGGCCCCTGTGACCTTCTGCTCCTTACCCACCGTCATCCTGGGCGAGCAAAGGTCAGGACACCAGATGCTACTGAGAGTGACATCTCCTGGATGGGTGGCTGGGGACTTTGCCTCTGTCCCCAGCCTCAGACACCGGAGGATCCCTCCCAGAGACAGAAAATAACCCCACACTGCCCAAGACTTATTTTTAAGCTTTGGATTCTGAAATTTTCCTGCTGCCACCTTCTTTGTGAAGCTAGTTTTTCAACAGAGACAATATTCCAGGGGGGAAAAACAACAACAACATGGAGTCAATCAAACCAAGCTGACACATCTGGTCCTCCCAGAGAAATCTAGATTGGGGGGAGAACAGCCATTCTCAACTGGCGAAATAGCGAAGTTCCCTTGTCCTTATTTTGTGTAAGCAAAATAAATAATCTGATGTTAACTCATAAAATTATTTTTGAGGAGTGCTTGGCTCATAGGAAAACTGATTATGTTTTATGGAATGAAGTGTTACCTGATTTTAAAATTAAAAATGAAGCCAATTAGGATTGTTAAATTACACTGTCATAATTCTGTTCTTTGATAGCAGAAATAAACCTTTTTTTTTAAAGTTAAGTTATTAAAGTTTAAAACTTGTCTTATTCAGCAATAAGAAATTAGATCTGATTATAAACAAAAATGTAAGAAGTACTTTGACACAAATACTTCATACACACACACACACACACACACACACACACATATATATATATATATATGTTGTAGAAGGACACAATGTCTTTATTTTGTTTATTTACTTTTATGTGGTGCTGAGAGGTGAGCACTCTACTACTGAGCCCCAGCCCCAGTCCCCACTTTTTTTGTTTTTTTAATAAAAATGCAAACAATGGGATTTAATTCAGAAAAAAAAAGACTCTATTTCCTAGAGAACCCAAGTAAGACAAATCAGAATTATAGCAAAATCCACCTATGGAAGAATTTTCAGTATCATTGATACGGTGTTATTTATGCAATAAATAAAATTTAGGAGAATAATAAATATTTTTTATCATTTTCAGTTTAATTACTTTGTTTAACTCTCCATTAAATATGCTGGCCATCTGGAAAACTGCTCTGTGGGCAGACAAGAAGCCTGACACTAACCAAATTAGATCACATTTGAAGCTTTAGGACATAGGAAAATCCTCCTGGCTCTGGGGGGAAGAAAAAAAAAACCAGAAAATCCAAAATAACCTTTCCTTAGGCTTTTTGCTTCTGGAATAATTTTGGTATTTGATTTTTTTCTCTTTTGAAAGCATTTGATCTTTTCTCTTCTGAACTCTACACAGTAAACATTGACCTGGGGCAGCTGTGAGTCAACTTTCAGCAGACTTAGAAGTATCAGATGGCAGAAGAGTACTAAAATGAAATACATAGAAATGCACCATACATCAATGAATATGCTCACCATTTTAAATAAATATATATTACTTTTATGACCAAAAGAAAACAAATACTATTTTCTTTTGTGAAGTTAAACAGAGTCCATAACTAATTCTTACCAGATCCCAGTTCCCAGTGGTCCAGTGACAGCAAGGGTGCCTGTTGCAGGGCACAGTTGATGGGGGCCTTTTTGTCCAGTCACAGAGGCCTCCTGGACAGGACACACCTCTCTCCTGAATTCCGCCTCCACAGGACCTGGAACACTGATACACAATGTAGGCATGAGTCAGTAAAATCAGGTGGTGACACTTTCAATGACAAGAACAGTTTTTTACTGCTTTTTTTCATTGTATATTATTAGAAAAATTAGTGTCTGCATTGGAACTTGGAGCATCCTTGCAAGTTCCTTTCAATGATCACTCCAGTTACTTATTTTTAATTTTTTTTTTTTTTGGTACTGGGGATTGAACCCAATGGCACTCAACCACTCAGCCATATCCCCAGCCCTTTTTATATTTTATTTAGAGACAGGGTCTCACTAAGTTTCTTAGGGCCTTGCTAAGTTGCTGAGGATGACTTTGAACTCAAGATCCTCCTGCCTCAGCCTCCCGAGCACCTGGGATTACAGCTGATCATTCCAGTTACTTAAAGCAACAATGTGAGACAAAACTAAAGAGAAGGAGGGAGGCTGAAGGGAATCTTGAAGATAAGAAGAAGAGAAAAATCAGAAGATGCCAAGTAGTCTAATGTCAAGCAGTATGCCAAAAGGGAAGAATTTTGGTTAAAAACTTAAATGGGAGATCTTTCCAGAATGGACACTATGCTATCTGCATTTTCCCTTCTGGCCTAAGTGTCTAGAAACCAAAATATGAAATTTAGATGTTTTTATGATAGTTAACTCTGGCAGCCCAAAAGGTGAGGATATAAAGCCCAAAAGGTGTATAATACAATTCCTCAGTTCACTCTTTGCTCAGTGCCCACTGCACAGGAATTGGAGTCTCCCTGATATTTGAATTACTACTTCCTATCAAAACTGATGCAGTCTTCCTTTTGCACTATATACAGTCTTATAATTAAATGTCTCCCTATTAGGACTAGTGAAGTTCATGGATTTGTTCAGGATTCTGATGGCTGGGCTGTAATGCTCACAAAATAAAATCAAGATGGTCAGTTGGATTTCTGAAGGGTTGTGCTTCTGAAACATGTCAGAGTTTTGTTCACTAAAATAATTTGGTAGGACATTTTGTTTATTTTTCATGACATTTCTAAGAGGAAATTAAATAATTCGCTAAGAATCTTTGAAAAGTACTTTGAATAACTTAGCTATGGTACGGGTGTAACAATAACCAATAGAAACAAAACTATGGTTGTCTTGTCAACCTCATCATCACAGCAGGCACTATGTGTATGATAATAACAGACAACAAGGAAATTATTTGCAATTAGCCTTCTGTACTCAATGTATCGCTTTCACAAAATGCCAACTTCGAGAATCAACCTGGATTTTTCTCCTTTATCCAATCAGTTTTTAACCCTATCTGAGGAGTAAAGGAGAACAATCACACATCTGGGATCACATGTACCTACATATGTGCACATCATCTCAGAGTCACCTAGCCAAGTAACCTCCAGAAAAATGGGGCAAAGAAAATGTGGATCAGTGGTTCTCCCACCAGCAATTTCAGCATCTTCTGAACAAATGCAACTCTCAGGTTCCACTGAGGTTCCCAAATTGTGCACCTGGGGATGGCGCCCTTCCATCTGTGCACTCAAAAGCTTTCCTGGAGATGGTGAAGCATGCCAACACTTCATGGCTACACTGATGTACAGATGTTCCCCCAGCTAAAATACATCTACCATGCAGGTAGTCTGCACTGGCTGACCTTTACCAAACAGGTCCTGAACAGTCCACTAGACAGTGCTGTGAGGCAGACCAGCAATTGTGATGGTCCAGAAAAAGTTTCTAAAAATGCGGAGTCCTAGTACTCCTGGTTCTCAACTGACTTTTAAATTTCACAACCCTTTTGTTCCTTCAGATAGCTCTTCCAACCTGTGGTTTGCTCAGAACAGAGAAATTTAGAAAGGAGGATGGTAGGAGCCTTCAGGGAACAGACTGATGGTTGCAGCTCCAGGAAGCTTCAAGGAAGAATAAAGAATAGATCTTTGCCATAACCAGAAAGATCTGGTTGCTCATCTTTGATAACCTGAAAATGCCATTTCTCTGACCAGGAAATATAAGTTCCTCTGCAAATTCTAGGATCCAGAAGTTTCAACTGAACAGGTCTAGGCCAGCCTCAGCATATATGGAGAGCTTGGAGGTCTGAGTCCAGAGCAGGGGGGAAGCCGGCACTCAGGTACTTCAGATTTGGGCAGGGAAGGGGGAAAAGAGGAAATAATGGTGACTACTGCCCCAGAAAACACCAGGTAGTGGCCCAGATTCTCAAGAATCAGTATGGGTGCTTGGCCTGATAGGCGCTAAGTAGCTCCTGGGCGCTTAGCCTTCTACAACCTTTGACACTAACTTTGTATCCTCAGGTTGTGCTTCTCTACCTCCCTTTCCATGACATGTGGTAGGTTCCTCTGAAATAGAGTCCCATTCTCACTCTTTGCTCAGTGCCCACTGCACAGGAATTGGAGTCTCCCTGATATTTGAATTACTACTTCATTTATTTTCTAGTTGTATAAGCTCAGGTAGATTCCTCAACCTCTCTGAGTCTTAATGTTTTTATCTATAAATGGTCATCCAGGTCATTATGAGAATTAAACCAAACAATGTAGGTAATATACAAACCCCATGGACACACTCAATATATGCTCTGCTTTTTTAAAAAAAATTCTTATCATGTGTGGGTATAATTGAGTGTTATTTTTAAACTATTGGAAAATGAGATCATCATACTTCACCAAAAAATAGCAGCCTTGTTCTCACATGCCAAAGTAAAACCAAGACACAGCAGAGCAAGAGCCCTCATTTAGAAAAAGAATACATGCACTTTTTTTTATTTGCGCAAATAATGATCTGGGCATTTCACTAAGAGATGAAACTAAAATTATACTATGGAAAGATTCTGATCATTACTCCCAGCCTGTCTGCAAAGCCTCAGACAAGTAAGTGAGGCTCTGTCCTAAATGGCCCTCATGAAAGTGGCCTTTGTTCAAATTGTTCCATTTTGTTAATTCCTAGCAGAGACCCCAGTTACCCAATACATCCACTGAAAGATCAGGTTGTAATAAAATACTGCACTGTCATGGTTGGAACCACACCGTATCATCTCCTCAAAGGAACCCTTTCAGCTCCTGAAAGTGTCTGACCTGCCTGGTTTCCCCCATACAGTGTGGGGTCCCTGAATGGAGGCCAGTCATGGGCATGATGCAGGTGTGGTCTTCCCCCTCCTCTAGACTCACATGGTAGCAGAGATTCATGGTCTGCCAGCTTGCATGATGTATGTCCTTATCTGGGGGTAGGGGTCATACCTGACTCCAGGGTTCCACATGCCACTCCTCACAGGGCTCCAGATTGCAGCTCATGCTTTGAGGGGGAGGAATGCCGGCCAGGAACTGGCAGTGAAAGGGTCTCAGGCTCCGGTGATGGTCCCAGCTGTCCACACACTGAATCTCCCTGATCTTGAAGCCTCCACTGCAGTTTCGGGAACACTGTGGGGAGAGCAAAAAGCAAAAATGAGACCAGGGTCCTTGGCAACAGGCCTCCATTTCCCTCCATCATACAGGTTCCAGGCTTCCAATTGTGCAGAGTGCTTAGGACTCTGAACCCTGTTTTCCTTTACATGCCATATAGAGGGCATCACAGGAGCAGCTCCCGTAGTCGGGGTTCCCAGAGTCAGAAAACACATGCACAGAAGTCTGAGGGTTTAGACGTCTGGCAGGAGTGGATGAGAATTTCAGTTTTGTGGCTCACTAATTGTGAGCCCTTGGATAAGTCACAGAAATGATGTGACTCACAGAAATGGAGTGACTCTGCAAACTGGGGATTAACACCTAACTGTTACCTCACAGGCTGTTGCAAGATTATAGATATTGGAGTCGGGAGTGCCTGCTGGCATAGTGTGTCTCAGGGGGTTGTCACTCCCACTGGACATCTATATTCATTCCAGGTAAAGGAGTCAGCCACCTAAGCTTTCTGCGGGGGGCGGGGGGCAGATGAAACTCTCCTTTTGGCTATGGTGGAATAGTCATGATTGCAGGATTGTGGTTGGGGAAAGAAAATTCCTCAAGACCTTTCAGAAGAGTAGATTCCCCAATATGACTTCCCCTTCTTCCACTCCCTAAGAGACTGTACCGTGTCACCTGACCTCAAATCTTGGTTTGTAACATGGGAAGACATGGCCCATGGGACACAAGGGCACGTGGAGGCTCTAATGCTTTCATCAATCAAGTGTGTTTACCTTCTTGGAAATAATCAACACTTGACAGATAGTCCCCTAAATACACAAATTAAGAAGTTCATTCTCCTGCCATGCAATGAGCACAAAGAGAATAAAAGTAGCTTCCAACTTAAAATTAGCTGTAAAACAACAGAGAAAGCATGCTAATAATACCCACCAAAGCAATCATTTGTCTGACAAAACAGGTTCTGAAAAATAGCACATGGTTAAAACAAGAAGCCTCTTTATTAGGAAAAGGGAATTTTACAAGACATTAAGTGTAAAATGGGGTTTGTTTTCTTATTTGTTGCTACAATCTGTTATTCCTAAATTTAATTTTCAAATTAATGTTCTTCTTTTGCCAAAAGCGTATTCACACGTAATGGAAAATGAAATACACTAATATGTTGAAGTCAGTAATGGAAGAAACTCACTAAATTGATGACTTCCCTATTCTATTTTCAAAAGAGCCTCTGATTCAGTTAGCAAGAGGGAAATGGTAGCATATTGAATTACTCCACTTCTAATGTTTTTTTTTTTTTTTTGCTCTTTTGTGTTGAATACCAATTGTTATATTCATTTTCTTACTATTCTAGAAGGTCATTGTATTCCTGGTTTCCTAACTAGAACCAGACTGGGCAACCTGGATAATGGGAACAGAAAGACTGGCTTAACACCCTGTTGCAGCCAAACAAAACTGATAGGTTTTCAGTTACCACATCAGTTTTTTAAACTGATATGATTTCTTTGTTTTTGCAAAATACCTAATCTATATTTACATCCACCTATAATAACATAACTTCAAGCTAAAATATATCATAAATAAAACAAGTATTGACAATTAAAATAAATCAAATGTAATGAAATAAATACATAAACAAAGATTTAATGAATCGGACCTCTATTATATATACTGTTGTTTCAAAAGAAAAAAACACATACAAAACCAGTTTTTTTTTTAAGAGTGAGAGAGAGAGAGAGAGAGAGAGAGAGAGAGAGAATTTTTTAATATTTATCTTTTAGTTTTCGGCGGACACAACATCTTTGTTTGTATGTGTGCTGAGGATCGAACCCTGGCTGCACGCATGCCAGGCGAGCGCGCTACCACTTGAGCCACATCCCCAGCCCAAAACCAGTTTATTAGCAGCTCATGGGCTTAGTAATCACAAAATGTTTTATTAAGTAACTGATATGACTTCTAAACCAGATTGACTTAGACTGATAAATACCTTTAGCTTACAGGAGTCACTGACAGAAATAAATCCCAAATATTACTTTCTTGTAATATGTTTTATTTACGAAGTCATTCTGATACTCTTTCTACATTGGATCCATATAGTGTTCAGATAAGTACCGCAAAGTTAATGAACAGAGGATCAGAAGGTCAACAGATGGCATTCATTTATGGGTCCCAAGTGGCAACATGACTGTGGATTAATCACTTCCATTTTTCCACTGGTGTTAAAAGGAGGATGAATTGGTTCCTAAACTATCCCAACCTTCTTGAATGTCATAAGTACACTGTATCAATGGATTTGAATTCTGTTGTAAATTAAGTTACATGCCAAATACTAGGCCAGGATAAAGAAAAAAATATTTTCTACTCATTTACTTATGCTAAACACATTCATAATATCATTAAAATAAAAGATGCATTCCAAACATTCTAAGTTGAACAGCACCAAATTTAACCACCTTCTCTCCCTCTCTCCCAATTACTGATCACTTACTATGTTCCAAGTTGTGTATCTCTACTTAAGTGGTTTACAATAGAGGGTGGGAGGAGTGACATACATAAGTAGAAGTGATGAAGATTATATCCTACCATGATTAAGTACCCTTGGGTTCAATCTCCAGTTCCCCCCCACCAAGTTATTCCCAGTCTATCCTACAAGTTGTTCATGATCCTGTGAGGATATGCAGTAGGAGGTGCTCAATTTCACCTGACAAAGCCAAGAAAGGGAGTTGGGGGCTCAAGCTGAACCTTATAGGATAAGTATATGATATCTGGGCACAGTGCTATGAAACAACACAGTCTGTCTGGGCACAGCAAGTGGGTCAAATGTGAGCGCAGAGGGTAGGGGAGGGCAAAGACGGAGGGATAGAGGCCACCATGAGGGCTTTGTGATTTGGACCTCAGTGGTTTGGGGGTCATGCTTCCTGTGATTCTAAAAGCTTCCATTTAATTGCCAATCCTCTAACCACTTCTTCCCAGGGATCCCTTAATCTAAAGTGCTTAGAGGTGTCAAGAGGGTGTGATAGTTTAAACACACAACAACTCATATCAAGAGGAGAGCAAATGCCATGATTTTATCATTCACCTGCCTTCTACTCAGTTTTTGCCTTCTGGGGACAGAAGCTCCACTATCCCATGCAATTCTATGTTTTGACCATATTAATATAGTTTCTAGGAACATGCTATGAATAAAATGAGGGGCATCTCTCTATTTAGGAAGACAAAGCCTATCTCCCCATTTTTAATTTGGAAAAATTCAGATTTATTAATGTAGTAACACCACAGATAATCTGCAAATCAAAGAAACTTGGAGACAAGGATTAGAATAAATCAGACAAATATACAAAACTTTAGGCTATAATCAAAGGTCGTTACTTCTAAAGATAATAAAATCAAGTATTATGAAAATTAAATTGCAATGTGCCTCTTGTCCTTCCTGGGGGAAGGCAGATCATTCCAAGAAAAATGTAAAACTCTTCCTGATTCATTTCAGAAATGACCAAGATCTGTTAGACTTGAATATGCAAAGGGCAGTGCTCATTCTAAGAAAGATAATAAGGGGGTTGTCAAATCAGCAGTTTGCATGACTTTGGAAAAAACACCCAAAATATTCTATCAGGAAATGTGTAGAACTGTGGATGACACACACTTTTAGTGTCAAATCCAAATTAGGATTATTTAAACTTATCTTTGTCACTTACTACATTTTTCCCATCACAAGAATCATACCCCCCCATATAAATCTTCTTGTTCTGAAATTGGCATGTGTCATGCAACTGATGTACATGTTTATTATGCCACATTTCCTTCTAACAAGCTGTAACTAAAGTTGATCATATACCCCCTACCCAATGGTTTCAATAGAATTGAGACTATGCAGCATAAACTTCATAATCAAGTATATGTTAGTGATTTAAACACCCTGAGCTTTGGTTTCCTCAGGGTGAATTATAAAGCCCTATATTGGGGGTCATAATGAAACTGTGTATCTAATGCTTCTGTGCAATGCTCGCACATGGTAGTACTTGAGGAGTGCTGGTATCCACGGGTAGGTAAAGTCCTCTAAAGTTCATGGTCACTTTGAACACCTTGTCTGCTTAGTACTGAGGAGCAAACCCTTCCCTGGCCAATGCTCCATTGATAGGACTTACTCTCACTATCACCTGTCTACCAGTCTCCTGTCCCTTCCACTCCTGTCCAAGTAGCCAGAGGTCAGGAAATGCCTAATAGTCAGCTCTAACCTTCAGCTAGAGCTCACACACTTGTTCAAGGTTTGCTGGAACCTCTTTTACCATGAACAAAGTTGTTCTATAACTTTCTTTGCTGGTAGGAATGCAGTGACTTTGAGGATTATATTTTAGATATGGAGGTTACCAAAACCCAGCAGAATTTGATGATATGGCAAAGAGAACACCTATAAAACCACTTGGAATTTTAAAGTTAATCAATATATCTGCAACTGAATAGGTAGAGAGAGGCAGAGGGAGAGGAAAACAAGGGAGGTGCCAGCCAGCATAACTTTCCTGAGGTAGCCTGACCCCAGAGATAAACTCCCCAATCTCTTGTTTAGGGTTTTACACCAGCTAGAATTCCTTAGGCTGATGTTGATCTTTTCAAAGTGCAAAGTATTTCATGCATCTACCATTTTTATGGCCCATGTAATTTCTTTTGTTTACTTTAAAAAAATTTGTTCTAATAAGTAAGTTATATATGATAGTAGAATGTATTTTGACATAGTATACATATGTAGAGTATAACTTCTCACTATTCTGGTTGTACAAGATGTAGAATCATATTGGTTATATAATCATATATGTACATAGGATTTTAATATCTGATCATTCTACATACTTTCTTATTTCTATTCCCCATCCCTTCCCTTAATTCCCCCTTTTCTACTCTCAAGTACTTCTATTCTTTCCTACCTTCCCTCCCACTTACTGTGAAGTTAGCATCTACATATAAGAGAGTACATTTGGCCTTTGGTCTTTGGGGATTGGCTTATTTTACTTAGCATAATATTCTCCAGTTCCATCTGTTTACTGGCAAATGCCATAATTTTGTTCTTTTTTATGGCTGGGTAATAGTCCATGTGTATACATACCACATTTTCCTTATCCACTCATCTTTTGAAGGGCACCTAGTTTGGATCCATAGTTTAGCTTTTGTGAGTTGTGCTGCTATAAACATTGATGTGGCTGCGTCACTGTAGTATGCTGATTTTAAGTCATCTGGGTATAAACTGAGGAGTGGGATAGCTGGATCAAATGGTGGCTCCATTCCAAGTTTTCTGAGGAATCTCCATACTGCTTTCCATAGAGGTTGCACAAACTTGCAGTCCTACCAGCAATGTATGAGTGTACCTTTTCCCCCACGTCCTTGCCAATATTTATTGTTGCTTATATTCTTGATGATTGCCATTCTGATGGGAGTGAGATGAAATCTTTACTCTGTTTTAACTTGCATTTCTCTAATTGGTAGAGGTGTTGAACATTTTTCCACATTTTTGTTGACTGAGTGCATTTCTTCTTCTGTGAACAGACTGTTCAAATCCTTAGCCCATTTATTGATTGGGTTGTTTGTTTTTTTGTGGTGTTAAGTTTTTTGAGTTCTTTATATATCCTGGGGATTAATGCTTTATCTGAGGTGCAAGTGGCAAAAATTTTTGCCCATTCTGTAGGCTCTCTCTTAACATTCTTGATCGTTTCCGTTGCTGTAAAGAAGCATTTTAGTTTGAATCCATCCCATTTATTGATTCTTGATTTTACTTCTTGTACTTTAGGAGTCTTTTTAAGGAAGGCAGTTCTTAAGCAGACATGATGTAAAGTTGGGTCTACTTTTTCTTCTCTTCAGGCACAGGGTCTCTGGTCTAACGCCTATGTACTTGATCCACTTTGAGTTTTGTGCATGGTGAGAGAATGGCATTTAATTTAATTTTGCTATATATGGATTTCCAGTTTTCCCAGCATCATTTGTTGAAGAGGCTATTTTTTCTCCAATGTATCATTTTTTGCACCTTTGTTTAATGTGAGATAACTGTATTTATGTGGGTTTGTCTCTGTGTCTTCTATATTGTACCATTGGTCTACATGTCTGTTTTGGTGCCAACACTATGCTGTTTCTATTACTACAGGTCTGTAGTATAATTTAAAGTCTGGTATTGTGATGCCTCCTGCTTTACTTTTGTTGTTAAGGATTGCTTTGGCTATTCTGAGTCCCTTATTTTTCCAATTAAATTTCATGATTGCCTTTTCTATTTCTATGAAGAATGTCATTGGGATTTTAATAAGAATTGCATTAACTCTGTATAGCACTTTTGGTAGTATGGGCCATTTTGACAATGTTAATTCTGCCTATCCAAGAGCATGAAAGATGTTTCCATCTTCTAAGGTCTTCTTCAATTTCTTTTTTTTCAGTGTTCTGTAGTTTTCATCATAGAGGTCCTTCACCTCTTTTGTTAGATTGATTCCCAAATATTTTAATTTTTTCAGGCTATTGTGAATGGTGTAGTTTTCTTAATTTCTCTTTCTGTAGATTCATCACCATGTATAGGAATGTGTTTGATTTGTAGGTCTTAATTTTATATCCTGCTATTTTGCTGAATTCTTTTATGAGTTCTGGAAATTTCCTGGCAGACTTTTTTTGGTCTTCTAAATGTAGAGTCATATCATCTGCAAATAGGGATAGTTTGAGTTCTTCTTTTCCTACTCATATTCCTTTAATTTCTTTTTTCTAATTGCTCTGGATAGAGTTTCAAGGACAATGTTGAATAAAAATGGTGACGGAGGGCATCCTGGCCTTGTTCCAATTTTTAGTGGGAATGCTTTCAATTTTTCTCCATTTAGAATGATGTTTGGCCCATACAATTTCTAAGGAAATGATTATCCCAGTGAAGCGAGAGTGGAACTTAGGAATTGACCAATATTTTGCAAGGTCAGGGATATAAAACATTTCTTGAGAATTTTCTGGATATGGAAGAGAATCTGTAGGCAAGCATCCAGTCCTTGCTGAGTTTGTTATGATTGGGATGAGAAAGGGAAAAGAACCTGCATATTAGTTGTAGATGGACCAATAAGTATATTTTATCATTCTTGAGAGAAAAATGGCAAAGAAACAGGAACAGGGAGGTTGACAGGTATCAAGGGAGCAGGCCAGTCTCTCTCTCTTCCCCCAAATCAAGACTTTTACTGTGGCAGGAAGAGTCCTAAAGCAGATCAGTGACATCCCATGTCCCAGGTGAACCAGAGATGTCTGATGAGACACCTCATGGTCCTGTTTGGAGACACAAATAGTCCATTAGATGAAGACATTAACAGAAGATCACTAGCATCCGCAATCTTCCTGGGTAATTTTTCTTTTTCTCTTTTCCTATGTCTCAGCTGTCAAGGAGGATTGTTTCCTTGAAGAGTAGACAGGGACCTACAGGGAATCCTATATGGAGGGCATAAGCACAGCTCACATTTCTGCTCTTCCTGCCTGGCCAGTGTCTTGTAGCCCCAGTGTATCTCTGGGGCCGGCTCAGCTCCAATCCTGAGTGACAGGCAGGTTGGAATTGGTTAGTGTCCCAAATCAACAAGGCTAGATAGTTGGAAAATGGACACATCCTTTTCACAAGAGACTGTGAAAACAGCTCAGTGAATTGAATAACCATAGTCTTTAGCAAAGATGGAAAAAAAAATCACACTTCAATACTTTAAAAAATATATTTGTCACATATATATATATATATATATATATATATATATATATATATGAATATATTAGTTGTAGATGGATGGATACCTATATTTTATTTATTTATTTTTATGGGGTGCTGAGGATTGAACCCAGCGCTTCACACAGGCTAGGCAAGTACTTTACCACTGAGCTACAACCCCAGCCCCCTGTGAATATACTTTTAAAGACCACATTATTCTTTATGCCTTGGCTTTTTCTTTTTTTTTTCATTTTTAAGTCTGGCAGATTAAACCTACAGGATTGTTTTGTGAAGAGGTGCTGAGCCACAGTTTAATTATATATATGATAATATATAATTATTCTTTATACTTTCTAAATTGAAGTAATTTAGCAGTATAATGAAATAGTGCTACATGCTGGACAAAGTAATTAATTATACAAATTTAACTTTTAATTCTAGTTTGTTTTGTAAGAGAAAGGACATGCAGGCAAAAACATGCGAGTTAATAAAAACTGTACAGTTTGAAGACTTTTGGGTAACTTGAATCAGGCCCATGGTAATCCTGTGACTATCCACGCATGATTTCATAAAAGAAAAGAGGCAGAGAAGAATGAAAAATGTCGGAAGGGAGGAGAGAAACCAACTTTAGCAAATACTTACAGAAGATTCCTCCACCCACCCCTGGACACAGCCTGGTAGATTACCTTGCTCCAGTTTCCCACTTTCCATCCGGCACATGGGCGAAGGTGGCATTTCTTTGCAGGGTCAGGCCTCTGGATGGCCGCACAGTCAGTGTCTATCTGGGTGCTGCACTCCACACTTCTCCAGTAAGCCCCCAGCCCACAGGTGGTGGAACACTGCAGCAGGGATGGGAAAAGTGAAGACAGGCTGAGGACGGCTTCCTCAGACACGCCCATGACTTGGACCCTGTAGGGAGGGATTCCCTGTTCTAGAGGCTAAGATTGACCACAGAACGATACCAATCATGGGCCTCCACACACATGAACCCGTCTGAATTTCGGGTCTGAAGCCTTGGGATCAATATTAAAAAAAAATTTTCCCCAAACTCAAAGTGGATCAAGGACCTAGGAATTAGACCCAATGCCTAATAGAGGAAAAAGTAGGCCCAAATCTTAATCATGTTGTATTAGGCCCCAACTTCCTTAACAAGACTCCTAAAGCACAAGAAATAAAATCAAGAATTTATAAATGGGATGGACTTAAACTAAAAAGCTTCTTCTCAGCAAAAGAAACAATCAATGAGGTGAAGAGAGAACCATACTTTGCCACATGTACCTCAGATAGAGCACTAATCTCCAGGATATAGAAAGGACTCAAAAAACTTAACACTAAAAAAACAAAAAAACAAAAACCTAATCAATAAATGGGCTAAAGGAGCTGAACAGACACTTCTCAGGAGAAGATATACATCCGATCAACAAGTATAATGAAAAATGTTCAACACCTCTAGTTATTAGAGAAATTCAAATAAAAACTACTCTAATATTTTACAATAGGCCAATTCCCTTTGCCAACCAAACTGCCCAAAGTTATGGCTCCACCATTATGGCCAACTTTTTGGTGAACTGTGATATTATTATTCAGTAAGACAGTTTATTGCTGTCATAAATCAAATGATGATATTCAAGACAAAATTACTTCTTTGTATTTTGATTTATTAAAATAAAAATGTACTGGCCTCTGGGCACATAGTCATCATGGTTGATGTCATCATTGTAGCTCAGTTTATAAGCATATAGTAATATCTTATTAAATTAATTAATATTTATCAACTAATTAACATATATTAAATAGCATCAGAGCAAAATCCTTATGATACATTTAAATGAAGTAACTATACAAGTGCTCTGGGATTTGAAGATAAATGAAAAGATGGGAAAGAAATAAAATTTCTGGGTCTTCCCACAGCTGCCTTTCAGTAAAACCATTGTATTAACTTATGGACTGAGAAGAGCTTGTCCAACCTTATTGTCCTAATGGAGAGAAGACCCCCTGAGGAATAACCCAATTACTGATTTGTCTCTCTGTCTAGATTCTGGAGAAACATATTTATAAGTTATTCATCCTGTAGGGTCTCTCTTCATTGTGTTGTTTCCTTTGCTGTGCAGGAGTTTTTACATTTGTGCCATCCTATTTATAAGTCCTTGCTGTGATTTCCTGATGATTGGAGTCCTATTTAGGAAGTTGTTGCCTGTGCTTATATATTTTCTTCATTATTTCTTTCCTTCTACTGTTCGATCTTGTTTTTCTAAGACCTTGAGATTCAACATTATAGAATAATAAGGGAAAGAAAGAATAAAAGATCAGAGCTGAAATTAATGAAGTAGAGACTAAAAGATCCTTCTATACCCAGTTTCTTCAGGGTTTTTACCCAGAAGGGATGTTAAAGGATTTATGCATCTGTTGAGAAGATCATGTGTTTTTAATCCTTGATTCTATTTATGTGATGAATTATGTTTATTGGTTTATATATGTAGAACCATCCTTGTATTCTGGGATGAAACCATCTTCATTATGGTATATGATCAGGGAACAGTGCATTTTGCATCCTGCAGATGACCTCTACAACTCCACTGACCAAAGAGAAGAAAGGGGAGTAATGATATAGAATGGGGTAAAAAATTGGGTATTAATGATAGTATACATAATGCTAAAATATATTGAAAGAATAAAAAGGGGGAGGAACAACAGAAGAGATAAAGAGAGAAAGAAGAAAACAGAAAGGGAGCGAAAGGAATAAAAATGAAAAAGAAGAGATAACAAGAAAAAATCCAATTAATTTAGAAGACCCATAAGGTTTGACAGAAATATGAAAAAAATGAGAGAAAACAAAATAAAGCAACACACACACACACACACACACACACACACAAAAACAACCCAGTAACAACAAAGAAAAAAAGAAAAAGCACAAAACAAACAAAAAGTGATTTAATATTTCTTCTTGTTAAATTACTTAAAATGAGGACACTTTGTTCTGGGGTTTCTAGTTGTAGAACTCACCAGCTATGGAAAGGTTTGTGGGACAGAGCTACAATTTGTTCCCTCTTAACTCTAACCCAAACGGGCCAAATGTGTTGGAGCCTGCAGCCTGGGCTCTACCCCTCCTGGCCCACCAGCCAGTGCTGAGGGAAAGTTGTCCACTGAAGAGCTAAATCCACCCTCCATGACTCTATTTTTGTACCTGGTGTCATGTTATTTTAACAAGTTCATATGCTGTACATTCAAAATTCAAATAAGTGAAAAATGGTTTTCATGCTTCAAAGGATGTCATTAGTTCTAGAAATGGAAAACCAAATATCTAGCCAAATTTCTGCAGCCTGAAAATAGGGGTCAACATTTTATCATCATGTTTATTTTCTTCTTTTCCTATATTTTAACTCTTCCAACAAGCCAAAGTGAAATGTTTTAATGTAAACATTCAGACAAAAAAAAGAAGAAAAAATCATTTATATAATAAGCTCTGTAAAATTCTATCAGAGTTTGGTCTTAGAGTTCCATTCTAGATGTGATTACTTCACAGGTTTAAACCAAGCCTCAGTATTAGCTTTGTGATTGAAGGGCAAAGTTAGGCCCTTTCAGTTGTTCTTCACCCCAGGATCATTGTACATTACAGCTGGAGGAGACATTAGAGGTGATTACACTAGCCCTATCATTCTGTAGATAAAAATCAGGGATATGGGGCTGGGGTTGTGGCTCAGAGGTAGAGCGCTTGCCTAGCAAGTGCAAGGTCCTGGGTTCAATCCTTAGGACTACATATAAATAAATGAATAAAATAAAGATATTGTGTCCAACTACAACTAAAAAGTAAATATTGAAAAAAAATCAGGCATAGAAAGATGAATTTTCCTATGATCTTACTACTGCCTGACACAGATCTCCTGACTCAGTCCAGAGTTCTTTTCACTGTATCTCACCACATACGTTTCTCTCTCTCTCTCTCTCTCTCTCTCTCTCTCTCTCTCTCTCTCTGTATGTGTGTGTGTATTCTATCTTCCATTTGAGGAGTTGGCATTGACTTGACAGCTTTCAATTTTTTCCACATTAGACTACATTTTAATGTAAGTTCATTTTAAAATTTGCACAAGAATGCGACATTGTTAGCTATTTTCCATGTATAATCAGATTAGGGATAGGAAACATAATCTCTTACCTCACTCCAGTTTCCAACAACCCAGTATGCAGGAGTGTGTTCCTTCATGAGCTGCTTATAGTTGGAGGCATTCAGCAAAAACCCCTCAGCAATCAAGCTAGACGCGTCTTCCTCTGTCAGGACTGGTTCAGAATCTTGCGTTACATTTGTGTTGCTTGGAAGTTCCAGGTGGTGATTTTTTACAGACTTTTCTGAGAGTATTGGCTGGTGGTCACCTCCATGAGGGAGTGGAGTGTTACTTGATTTTTCAGTGACCATCCCTTCTGCTCTGAGTGTCCCGTTTTTCAGGATACTGGGTCTTTGACTAGGTAGTGGGCCTTCTATTACTGTGCTAAAGGGAGGCTGTAAGGACTCCTCCCCAAGGTGAGGTGTTGGTGGAGGTCCAAGTGGCATCTCTGTACTTTTCTCCATTGGATCATCATTTCTAGGCCCACCGACCTTGCTCCATTTAACAGTATGACTTTCATCTTTGTTCTTGGGCTGTTCACTGTCATCCCCTGAGCCACTGTGAATCTCCAGTTCTGGATCTTTGGTCAAGGTACTGTAGAATGGAGTTACTTGCCAAGTCACAGCATTGCCAGAAGATAAGTCAGAACTACTTGTTGTAGCTACAAAGCCTCCCTCTGCAGTAGGACCAGTATCTGAACTAGAAGCATTTTCAACATGGGGCTGGACACTCAAAGACCAGGAAGGGAGGATGGGCTGGGAAGTGCTTCCAGTGGAAATAAGATCATGGGAGTCCAGGTTGGTTTGGGTTGAAGTATTTGGCCACTGTTTCCCATCCAGGTCTCCCTCTTTGGAGGCTGTGGCAGGAGTAGTGCGACCGACTGCTGGAGTACTGGTGCTCATAGAGTCAGGCACGGTGGGTGTGGTAAGCAGTGTAGGCGTGGGTGTGGGTGGAGGGATGGGCTGTAAGGGGTCTTGCTCAGAGGTTGGTAGATCTTTCCCATCGGAAATGGTGCCTTGGTTGGGTTTCAGAACTCTCCGGCTAGACGGACACTGCTGGAGGCCACACAGGGCTCGGCTGTTGGGTTTCCTCGTCCTGTCGCAAGGTTCATCCAGGTTCTTGGCACACGTGACACTGCGAATCCGCACTCCTCCACCACAGGAAACAGAACACTGGAAAAGAGAGACAGCTGTTAGTGTCATGAGAAAAGATGTTTTCATTCTCGTAGGCAGGTCTACAGCAGATGAGGACAGGCCCAGCGGTGGGTGGCTGAACTGTGTGCAGTTAATGTCGTCTTCAATCTCCACATTTGGTTTCTGTGCTCTTTCAGTTTCCCATGGAAATATCCACTTCCTGAAGACCAGCTGGGGCTCAGGATCAACTATTTACTTACTCTTCACAAACTGAGAAGGTAAACCATGACCTAGTCAAACTGAAATCTCTTGTGGGATCTACCAGGAATGCAATGATTTAAAGCTACCTAATTTCTTTAAGAGTGAGTTAGTGATATTATCTTTTTCCTAGGGTTGCAATGCTATTAAATTAATATGACATGGTTACATAGTCTTAGGCATCTATTGTTAGTTATATTGAAACTTTTGCTTTATCTTAGAAAATAGCGATTATCATTCAGCAGTTTCTCCCAAGTATCATAATCATTTGGCTGTGGCAGGTAGAATTAAAAGCTACACAATCCCCACACTCACACACGTTCATGAATCTAAGTCCATTTGTGGAATTTAAAGACGAGTAGTTAATCAAAGGCAGGATATATCCTTTCCCGGAGAGTTGGGTCAATCCCTTAGTGTGCTGCTAATGTACACACTGGGGTGGAGGCATATTACTTCCCCAGTGTTTCCCCCAGCTTCTGTAAGGCATGCCAAACACAAGTAGCTAGATTGTTTTTTGGGGAATCCTGACAAGACAGTCCTTCCTCAGAATTCAGGATAAAAAAGAAATGTTTAGTTTATCAATCTCAGCAGCCATAAGTTGTATATAGTTACTACATAACACAAACATTTACGTATCCATACTCTGCCTGACCACTCCATTTCCTTTTCAGTGGCATTTTAAGACAACCACCAAAAAGTTGGCATTTAAGCATGGACCACTTTCAGGCCTTTGCTGACCATTTTACATTTGCGTAGTATCCCTGACCTCAAAAAGGTTTATTAAGGATGGGACTGCATAACACTCAAAGGATTTCAAAGGACTTGATAGCTATTATTCTATGAGGTACTTGTGATATCCCTGTGAGGTTTACAAGACAAGAATGATTATTCCAGGTCCCACAAGAGAAAAGTCCAGCAACTTGCTTTGAAAGGTTGCAAGTCAGTCTCAGAGTAAGTAAAAATCAGGTTCATCCTACATCCTCTCTTTCCTGCCAAAACCTAGTGAGACACTCTGAACAAGTAGCTATCCGTGGAGTCAGCTCATTGACTTGACCAAACTTCTGACTTCTGGAAAGTAACTCAAAGGCAGGAACTATTTCTTATTCATAACTGCATTCCAGGATAGTTCTTAAGACACACTGATCACTTTGTAAATATTTATTAAGTGATCATTTGGCCTCGGGGGAAAAAAATAACAGGAATGGGAAAATTCTTACTCATGAGCTTATGCATTATTTTTAGCTTAAGTTCCTTGCCTTCTAAAGTTCTATTTTCAATTTCCTCTATATAGGAAAATAATATCAATGTAGGAACCTCCGTCTTTATTTTGTTTTAATGGAGCATAATCATTCACTGATATATAACAACTCTGTGAAATCAACGCCTTTGAAAAGCAGGAGATGGCTCTGAGCACAGAATGGACAGCCGAGGGAGAGGCCAACTGCAGATTAGGGCTCAACCAGCAAAGAAGTGACTTGAAAATACTAACAAAACCTGCAGACACCCTGCTCTAAGACTGACTTCTCAGGATTCTTTGGTGGGAACTGTGCTTTATGAGCAGGAGTGCATACTAGTTTTTTCTTAGCACCAAAGTTGAGGTTACCAAACAAAGACCTGGGAGCCCACCAGTGAGGGATATGTTATCTTCCAGGACTTTCCATGATTTACTTGGAGCTGGAAAGTGAGGCTGGAAATGTTTATTTTCCAGTTTTGCCACAATTTTTCCACCCTTGTGTTTCAAGTACTTTATGCTCTGTCCAGTTTAATCATCACAAGTCTCTCTCCTCTTATTATATTCTAATCAGAACCCTTTGGATTTTCAAATTTCCACTCTATAAAAATTTACCATCCAACTAAAACTCTTCAGTGTCTGTCTGAACACTTTTCCATGCTAGTTGCCTCAGGCAGCTTGGTTTGGAGACAGCTTTCTCATGAATGGGAACCTGGTTAATGTCACTTGTCCTCAAGCACCCGGTGACCTCTCTTACAGTTTTTCTTTCCAAGAAGTTATTTGAGTAGATAGCAACATAATAGGAAACTCTTTTGATTTCTCTTTTCTTTCTCTTCTTTCGCTCCCTTTGTCCAACCCCCCAACCCCACCCCTTTTTTTTTCCTTTGTGGAATGAATTGTTTTAATTTGAAATATTTCAAATGACCCCCTAGGGATGTGAGAATTTACTATATCTCTTCACAAGCATTTAGAAAAATATGTATCCTCTGTTCTTACCTTGAACTATGGGGAAAAAAAAGAACTGGAAAACTTGTGAAAAACAGCTTAAATTCCCCAATGCTTGTTATGGTTTAGATATGTGGTGTCTCCCAAAAAAGCTCTTATGTGAGACAATGTAAGAATATTCACAGACAAAATGATTATAAGAGTTTTAACTTAAAAATTAATGGATTGATCCACTATTATAGATTAGCTGGGTGGCAGGCAGGGTGAGGTTAGAGGAAGCAGTTCACTGGGGGTGTGCCTTTAGGGTTTATATTTTGTCCCTGGTGAGTGGAGAGCTCTCTGTTTCCTTGTTGCCGTGACTTGAGCTGTTTTATTCCACTATTCCCTTCCACTATGATGTTCTGCCTCCTTGGGCTCAGAGCTATGGAATCAGCCATCTGTGGACAGAGACCTCTGAAACGGAGCTAAAGTAAACTTTTCTTCCTTTACGTTGTTCTTATTAGACTTTAGGTCACTGTAAAGCAAGGGTGAAACTAAAACAAAGTCTCAGTATCTTCATCTGGAAATTGAGAGAAATTAGTGCCTACCTTTCAAGGCTGCTGAAAGGATGGTCTGAAAACTGTACATGATTTTTGCAAGATGATTGGTAACTGGAAGCTATTATTGTAGCTGCTATAATAATGATGCTGGTAACAACAGGCATGCTAATAGCAAAGGGGTTGAAGGTTCTCAATCTCTATTGTTCCTTTAGAGCATGGCACACAGAACTTCCTGTTGGGTGATGAAGTAAGGGCTGGCACATGTGTATAGACACTCTGGAGACCCATGTTCCCCTCTGGCTTATTGCTGGGTTTATTTATTTTTTGATTCATATTTCCCAGGCTAACTGATGGGCTTGTGGTCTTTTAACCTGCAGGTTTCAAGAGCTAAACAATATTATTAAGTGTGTGATTCTGTTGAACCCCAAAGAACAAAGCAGAAATTACTAATAGCTATCTAGCTGGCTGTTCAGTTGAAATGCATTAAATTTTGGTACAAGTTAACAGGAGTTCCAAAGTGGCAGCCTAAGGACTAAATTTGGCTTATAAACATGTATTCTTTGGCCTGTTGAATCTTAAAACCACACACACACCCCCCCCCCCAAAAAAAAAGGACAAAAACTGAATTAGTGACCAAAAATTTCGAAAACTAGTAATTTCATATTTTAAAAAAACCCAGATTTTTGGGTTCTCTTAAAAAAGGCAGATACCCTGCATCCATTGGCCCAATTTCCCAATGGCAGTTCAAAACTTCATTAATGGAGACCTGGGTCTGGAAGGAATCTATATGTTCTCTGACACCCCTATTTCCTTACCCGGGAGACACTGAATCTTCCCAGCCCATGGATGCCATTCCTCAGCACTGTGTCATGTTGTGCCCTGGCATTACAGTGCTATCTCCCAGGGACACTGGAACTAAGCACTGGCTTGCCTTTTCTTACACTCAGGACAGAAAAATCAGTGATGCTTTGTATTCAGCCTCACGCTTCTTCCAGTACATCTTCGACTGTGTTTATCTCCTTAGGAGCTGTCAAGCCCCTTGGATGAGATAAATGAAGTACACAACAACACCACCTTTGGAACCCATCTCAATTTGTAGTTTCAGAATTCTCAAAACCAATTTCAGCTATGATTTTCGTATGCTCTTATCTTATAATTTTGAACCCTATACCAGGCAAGTAGCTTGTCAATCTGTTCATTCCCTCTCTGGGAGTTATCTTGCCCTCCCTAGCCATCACTCCTGGATGAAGGCCTCTGGGGGAAGCCTGCTGAGGAAGAGGTCTGCTGCTAAATGGGTCAACTCCACCCACCTGAGGTGCATTGCAGGGAAGGGAAGGGGAGGACTCATAATGGAAGGGGAGGACTCATAATGGGCCCAGAACTGTGGTGCAAAGGGTGAGTTTATTTAAAAAACATGGAGTGTATCAGAGGATTTTGGCTAAATGGCTAAGCATAGAAAGAGATAATACTCGGGCATAAAAACATTTAATGTATAGTGTTAGGAATTTATAAATAATGATTAGATCTCATTCTGAAACCTGGTTTAAAAGTAAATGCTTGTTATGGGTTCAATTGTGTACTCCTCCTCCCACAAAAAGATATGTGAGGGCTTATAATGCCTACCTCAGAATGTGAGTTTATTTGGATAGGACTTTTAGAGGAAATCAAGTTAAAATGATGTTGTTAAGGTCGGCTCTAATCCAGTATGACTGGTATTCCTATAAAAAGGAAAAATTATTCAGGCATGGTGGTATAGGCCTATGACTCTCAGCAACTCTGGAGGCTAAGGCAGGAGGATCACAAGTTCAAAGCTAATCCTAGCAATTTAGTGAGTCCCTGAGCAATTTAGTGAGACCCTGTCTCAAAGCCAAAAATAAAAATGGCAGTATGTAGCTCAGTGGTAAAGTGCCCCTGGGTTCAATCCTCAGTGCCAAAAACTAAAACAAAAAAAGGGGGAAATTTGAAATCAGAGACATATATGTAGGGAGAATATCATGTGTAGATGAAGATAAGGGTTTTGGTTATGCATTTGCAAGCTAAGGAACACAAAGATTTCCAGAAATCCA